TGCATTTCTTCCAAAGTGTGTAAGAACTTTTAGTCTAAAAGGACATATACAAGATGAAACTATGACTATGACTCATTTGTGATTCTTAAGAGACTTTCAGTAGAGTACTCAATGGAAATGAAAGAACGTTCACTTTAGCATTAGTTGATCTGGGTTCAGTTCAACTCTGCTTCTTTTCTAATAGGTGGTCAGTCTTGAGTGTGGGGATTGTTAGTCACCGTCTCCTGGCAGTGTATAGTGCCTGGAGCGCAGCTGTTTTCTAATGAATATTTGTTGGATTGCTTTCTCCAAGTTGAATCTTTTTGGAACTCAGTTTTCTTAGTCATAAGCCATATGGATTGGGTTGTGATTTCTAAGATCCTTTCAAGCATTCTATGAATAATATTTTGAATTGCATTGGCTGTTTGAAAATAACTGTGCAATTGTGTTATATGTCTCAGCTAACAACACTGGGTATTTTTTATTTTATTTTATTTCTTTTGGTACTGAGGGTTGAACCCAGGGGTGCTTTACACCTGAGCTACATCCCCAGCTTGCCTCAAACTCATGATCCTCCTGCCTCAGCCTCCTGACTTGCTAAGATTACAGGTTTGTGCCACCTTGCCCAGCTGCAGAAAAGTCTTGAAATAATATATCATCGATATTTTAACTCCTATAAGTAATGGCTTTTTCCCTTACTTACTTATACTTACTTGAAGTATATGAATAATTCAGAAATTATTGATGAGTGACGAAAAGGTATTAATGTGTTAGAAACTTTGATGTTCTGTCTTAACAACTATTCATCAACATTCACATTTGGAGGCAAATCTAATATCGGTTCAACAATTTAAGAGATATGAATAATGGTCAAAAGAACATAGACAAATCTAATTTTAGTCCAACAATTTGGGAGGTATGAATAATTGTCAAAGGAAAATTGTGTGAAGAATTAAGGTGCTTGGGAAATAAAGGTTTTCTTTATCTCACTGATGAAGGCAACTGATGATTTTTCCTCCCCTAAATGATAACCACATGACTTAATTGTCAAAGAAGTAAGGTTGAGAATTCAATTCAGCTCAACGTACATTTATTGGATATACTTTGTTCAAACTATGTTAAAGCAGCAATAGGATCAATTTATATTAGGAAGAAGAAGAACTCTGAATAACAACTGCTTGACATCTCAAATCATAGAGCTTAGTTTTTAAGTTTCTTCTACGGTCAAGATAATGGATAAGTTACTTTCTCTGTGCCTTCATGACCTCAGTCTCCCACTTATTTTCTTGGAAGGATAATACTCAAGATGTTTAATGACTGGTAGAATCATATGCATTAGTTTTTTTTAAGAGAGAGAGATTTTTAATATTTAGTTTTTGGTGGGCACAACAACTTTATTTTTATGTGGTGCTGAGGATCGAACCCAGTGCCCCGCGCATGCCAGGTGAGCGCCCTACCACTTGAGCCACATCCCCAGCCCTTACATTAGTTTTTAAATAAAAATTTAAGATGTTTTCTCCTATTCCCTAAATGAACTAAACTACATGGTATTAGAACTCTTTTTGCCAAATTGGTGCAACCAATCTAGAAAGCAATATGGGGATTTCTTAGAAAACTTGGAATGGAACCACAATTTGACCCAGTTATCCCACTCCTTGGTTTATACCCAAAGGACTTAAAAACAACATACTGTAGTGACTCAGCCACATCAATATTTATAGCAGAACTATAATTCACAATAGCTAAATTATGGAACCAACCTAGATATCCTTTAATAGATGAATGGATAAAGAAACTGTGGTTCATGTACACAATGGAATATTATTCAGCATTAAAAGAGAATAAAATCATGGCATTTGCAGGTAAATGCATGGAGTTGGAGAATATCATGCTAAGTGAAGTAAGCCAATCTTAAAAAAACCAAAGGCCAAATGTTTTCTCTGATAAGTGGATGCTGATCCATAATGAGGATGGGGGTGGGGAGGGAGCATGGGAGGAATGAAGGAATTTTGGGTAGGGCAAAGGGGAGGGAGGGGAAGGGAGGGGATATGGAGGTAGCACAGGTGGTAGAATAAGATGGACATCATTACCCTAGGTACATGTATGAAGACACAAATGGTGTGATTCTACTTTGTGTAAACTAGAGAAATGAAAAATTGTGCTCCATTTGTGTACTATGAACTGACATGCATTCTACAGTCATGTATAACAAATCAGAAATAAATGAATAAATTTTTTAAAAAAGAAGATGTTGTAGTACAAATGATTAAGTCATATAATTTCTAAATAACTGTTGATCTGTGGAAATTGTAGGTTTAATCTCTTGAGTGGAGCTGTTACTAGCTCAAGGATCCCATGAGTCAGCCATGATTTCTCATAGGTTAATTGCACCCAATTCTTCCAACATTTCCCTTCTTAAATTGATAGTCACTAGGTGATTTATAATCTCGATAAGTGCAGAATTTCTCTTAACATCAATGATATTGTTCAATCTCCCTCAGTTTCTGCTAAAATAACAGCAATTGTATTAAATTTTTTCAATCCTTTTTGATTAGTGTCTGACATTTTTATGTGTTCAATATTTCCACTCCTGACTGTCATTGAAGTCATTGATTGGTGTGTCATGCTGAAGTAGCTTGAACCTAATCTTTCAGAGTTGAGGAGGCATAGAGATGCCATGGAAGGAGCGAAGACTCTACTGCCAGCCTGTTGGAGTTCTAGTCTTTGCTTTGACTCTTAAATTCTTTGTGACCTCTCTGTGCTTTGGCTTCTTCATCTGTAAAGTGAGGAGGATAATTCTGACCAAAGTCGAGCCCTCTGATGAGTTGCCCTACAATAATGTTATTGGGAATAAATACTGCAGTTGGCAGTTGACTTCAGTCCCCCCCATCCTATCCTTAAGTAGGCACTGGGATAGAATTCTTTTTTGCGGGGAGGAGGGGCTAGAATTCTTATCACTCAGTAGTAGCCTTACCTGCAAAGTAGGAGGTGGAGGATCCAGGACCTTCATCTTCCACCAATAGAATTATTCCTCTGAATTGTTGGAATGAATATTAATAACTGGGCACATTTCTGGAGTTGTTGCCACCATCTTGAAAGCTACACCCAGACATGGTACCCCAAATCGCCCATGTGGACATTTAACCTTCCATGGACAACCCATACTAGGTGGACTCAACCCAGTCTTCTGAAGTTTTTGAGAAAATTTGTGGCATTGCCCAGGCAGCAGGATTTGTTTTCACACAATAACTCATTTGGAACAGGATCTTGGAGTCACAATATGTCAGAAATTTACATCCTAATTGTTCAATTAAGAAGATGTAAAAATGGTCTTCAGTATTGAGAGGGTGTATTAGGGGTTGTTATGGTGGTAGGGGAGGAGCTATCGAAATGGTAGAGATGCTAAATCGCAATTTACTAGCTAATCTAGAAACATTTTAATACTTTAACAACTCCTAGAGGTTGATTGGTACACTTCTACGGAACAACACTTCTATTTATTAAAATTCTCATGAAGACTAAAAGCATTATTACATACAAAATATTTTTAAAAGTTCATGGAACATAGCACTCAGTAAGTGTTAGCTATTATGATTAGCTGCTTTCTGAGAGCAATATTGAATTGTATCTTTGTTTTAATAAATGAGAGCAGAGTGAAAAACAAGATGAAAATTAGACTAATTTGTAGGATCAGTATGTTGCTTTACAGTTTGCAGTTAAAAGACCATTATACCTCCAGAGCCTTTATTCAGTTTTATTTTAAATTGATTTTACATTTTTAAGAGAATAGAGGTGGTGTTTTTTTTATTAATAAAACTAGTGCTTTTTGGAGATATTCTCATCATTCTGAATTTCATGCCTTGATAAAAGCTTTTTTCTTCCCTCAACCTCTATCTCATATCTTTGTCCATCTGTACTCAGTGTGTGCTTGGCATATAGTAGGCACTTAGTAAATATTTGTTGAATTAAGGAATATATTTAAGGGTCCTTTAAAGGGGAAATATGGACCATGGCTAGATTCTGCCATAGACAAATCATCAGGTAAAGTGTGTTTTCTCAGAAAAGGGCAAGAGAAAAAACTTAGAAGTATGTCAGGCATATTGGTTCCAGAGGGATGAGTTGTATTAAGCTATTGAGTTTATCTGCATCGATACTTGGATGACCCTGCTCTCTCTTGTAACATCCTAAGAGCTAGTGGAGATAGGGCTGTTTGATTCTGTCCCAGGGGATCACCTACCTGGGAGAGGAAGAGGACCCCCTGTGTTTCCTACAGTCCAAGACAAGAACAGACCTTGAAAACTAACTTCAACTAGTGTAGAGGATGGGTTAAAAACACCATCAGCAAACCACCACCAATATGCTCACGTCTCTTATCGACATCAGTTTTCTTCTAGATTCTCAAATCAATGCCCCAAATCAGGGGATCTATTGCTTTCTGATAACTTGATTTCTTTAAGTTCCTTCTAGGTAGAATGTTGAGGAGAGGGCCCTGTGGAAGTAGAACTGGCCTCCAGCATTGAGGATTGTGGCAGGGGTTGCTGAGGGCAGCAGGAAAGCAGCCAGGGAGCCTGCCGCGTAGCAAGCATTCAACACATTTGTCATGTTCAATTGTCGATGTGTCAGCTTTTCTCCTTCACCTTTTCACTTCTATTTGGGTATTTCCTTTACCTGTCTGAGTTATCTCCCAGCCCAGTTTCCTGTTCACAAATCTGCACCATGTTTCACTAGTAAGGTGGAGTGACAGTAATCTGGCATGGCTGCTTGCCTCCGGGAAGACAGGGAGACAGGGCAGGATAAACGCCATCTCCCATTGTATCACTGGCATAGAGAATTAGCTTCATTTTTTTTTGAGTGGATTCATATTTATTGCTAAACAAGTTGTATCTACACATTTGATTTTGTGCTTCTAGGGGCTTATGTTATGGTTTCTATAATCCTGTAGTCTCTAAACATTAAAAAAAAAAATGAATATTGAGGTTTGCAAATTAACACATATTCATTTAACTTTGTTTCCCCCACAGAATTTTGTGCGTCATCACTGGGTGCACAGGCGTCGGCAGGAGGGGAAATGTAAGCAGTGTGGTAAGGTAAGAGGCCCAGCCACCCACAGCCATCACAGGAGATGGCTTTTGCAAGCACCCATGTTAACAAGTCCTGTCCCCAAATCCAATGTTCAGTGCATCAGTTTCCTGAAAGGTCCTATTTTTCCAGGTCCCCTGTTCTGAAGAGCTGTTTTAGTTGCTGTACAGCTCACTACAAGAGGGCAGTGGTCTTAATAAAAGGAATTAGCACTTTTTAAGAAAGGTGGATGTGTCCTTGCAGAAAATTCCTCTGATTGTTGATTTTTTGTTATGTTTTGGTTTTGGTGTCAGGGATTGAACCCATGGGCATTCTACCATGGAGCTATATTCTCAGCCCCTTTTATTCTTTTTTTTTTTTGAGACAGAGCTTTGCTAAGTTACCAGATTGCCCTTGAACTCGAGATCCTCCTGCCTCAACCTCCTGCAGTTATAGGCATGCATCACTGTGTCTGACTCATGGTTGATTTTTGAAAGCAAGTTTTCCTATTTGGTTAAAACTTCCCTACAAGGCAAACTGGCTATCATACTTATTTGGTCAGTAACAGCAAACTAATGGAAGGTTGAGCAATGCTGCTTTTGCCCATGTCCAAGAGTAAGCATCTGTACTGTGATACAAGGTGCTGAGCAGAGCCATGCATGACAGCATGGTCAGAAGCTAAAAATACACAGCTCTTCTTATCAGTTTCTGGGAAGAGATGCCCCTCTTGGTGGTGGTTGTGTATGTCTTTTCCCTCTTTCCCTCTGGCTGGTGTCAGGCTCCTCTGATGCAGTGCCACTTGGAAAAGAGAGGTGGAACAGGGTGGGGGCATATGACCGTGTGCTGTTAAACTCACATTCCAAATATTATTGATCTAGCACAAAAGTTTGAAGTGGCTTTTCAATCACTTAATCTGTAAATGGAAATGGAACTGTTAGCTTTTCTCCAAATGTTATTGACCTGAACTGATTTGGGCATGAATTTTTTTCCAGTGTAAAAGGTTCTTCTTTAGGAGATTTCAGGAACCTCTGGGAAGATTAAACAGAGGTCAGTCACACAGTAAACAATGTTTTCAGTGACATCAGTAATAAACTGATATTGGTAATGGGACATTGGTAATGAGAAGTTTGGGTTTGGCAAGAGTTCAAGATAATTTGAGAGAATGTATTGTTTATCAGTTAATTATTACTTAATTAATTCATTTAATGTGACTCCTTCCAGTCAAACATTGCCTGGAGTAGGATGGTGGAGGGTAAAGGAAACTTGGAAATAGTTTATTGATTTTGCTGTTGTGTCTCATACCTGGGAAGAAAATATGATGTAGCAATTGGTAACCAAGTTCTCAGGGCCTGGACCTCCTTTATACTAGTAATATCTCCTCAGGTTCCACCCAGTGGCTCTCAGTTGGTTGCCTTTTAGCCTGTAAAGAGTTTGGCTTAGTCTGAAAGCAGATTGAGTTAAAAAAAAAAGTGAGGAGGAAGGGGAAGTGGAAAGATTTTGATGGTCATTTTACATGACTGGGAAGTAGGAGGTCAGTCTTCTAGTCTCCTTTGGGTGAATCTACCTCTTCCTACATGGTGCTACCTTGGGGCTTTTGGATTTTCTCTTACTTTGTGAATTGTAAACTATAACTCTGTGTGTGTG